TCCTTGGTTAGAGACTTAGGGGTCATTTAATTGGGGTATTCATAATCATCAACTGTTCTTATTCCCTTTGATGTTGTTTTTAAGACATTTTTTTTCCATTCCCTTTACCCTCCCCATTCACCCAAAGTCTTCCAAATTATTTCCTCACCCCCTAGATTTTTCCGTTCCTTTTCCTTAGCCACCTCCATACTCACACTAGCCACCACCCTCCTACCTTACCCCCGTCACCCGTTCGCCTCGCTACCCCAAGCTCCCACATCCCTCACCGCCACCCTTCCCCTTCCCCGAAAAGCTTTCTCCACCCCTGAAAACTCTAGAAACCCCTCTCCATCCTTATAAAATAGACGACCACCCCGCTAGGGTGGGGGGAGGGGCGGCCGACGGTTTACGTGGAGGGGCTTTCTGGGGTTTTGTGGGGGCGGGGGAGGGGCGGTGAGGGAGCTTGGGTGGTGGGGTTGTTGCTCGGTGGTGGCTGGAGAAAGTAGGAAGGTGAAGGAAATAAAGAGGTGGTTGTATGGTTGTTGTGTGGTGATGATGGTATGGTGGTTTGTTTCCTTTTGTTTATATAAAACAAAACAACATAGTAATTTTAAGGGTTTTTTCATTTCATTTACCTTATTTCCCTTAGTTGAACTCATTCCCTTTCCCTTAGTTGAACCAAACGACTCCTTAAGGTATTATCATGAAAATAATAATTTTTTTTAGTTAGATCACTAAATATATGTGGTATCATGCAATTAAATTTTTTATTTTATTTTATTTATTTATTTTTTAAATAACGACTACTAGTTTATACAAGTGAGCAAGTGGGGAGAAATAAGATTAAAACATAAGTATGAGACCTAAAGGTGTCAAAAATTGATCCAACCGATCCGATTTAGATGTTGGCTCGTACGAACATAATAATTTAACATGACTTAATTCCGAAATAGATCCGACCTGATTTGACCTCATCTAACTTGGTCTAATTATATTGACATCTCTTCTGAGACTCAACTCAAAAGAGAAGTAGAGAGATTTTTTTAAAAGTAAATTAAATAAAGTAAGTACATTAGAATACTTAATGAGGCAAGTAAAATGGATGCTAATAGTTGATGCCCTGAAATATGTTTTATACTCTATCATGCTCCCTCACATGAGATCCCTTTAGAGACGACCCATAAATATGTTTTATATTCTATAGAGATGTTTCAGAAAAAATATAGGGAGAAAAAAAAAAACCTTATACTGATATGCATTTATTGAAAGTCATACCACTAATTTTTATTCTCCCTATTCGACTACATGTTATGAAAGAGGGACATTACTAGTCGTCTAGTCTAGTACGGTCTATCATATAAAATGATGGTCTAAATAGAGATTCTGTTAGAGATGGAAAGAGATTATTAAATTAATTATTCCCTTGGTTTTGACTAATTATGATTAGATTCATTAGAGTAAAGGAATGAGTTTGAAGTCTAATTTTTTTTATGGTAGGTAAGAAAAAGACTTTGTTTTTTTTTTTTTTTTTTTGAAACCAAGAAGAAGACCACTTAAACAAATTTAAATATTTAACAAGTCAACCCAACTCAATTTAACAGGTAAGATCCCTTGAAAATAAGCCGGCGAGGAGAAGGTTTAGTGAATTCTCACTCTTAAAGTATTCTTAGTGAGAATTGATCGTAGAACCTCTTTTTTTATAAATAAAGGTTCGTTATAAAATACAATTCTTATTAGTAGACCATATACTACTAAACATTTAAATCTCAACCGGTAACACTTTATATTCTTCAGAAGGGATGTATGAGTGTGAATAGTAATTAAGTACAATATTAAAAAGAGTAGTTAACTTTTTTTTTTTTTTTTTTTATTTATTTAAAATACTCCAGTAAAAATACCGAAAATATCATCATGTTTAACAAAACGTACCATACATAACCATAAACTGAGTACCTAAAACCAGTCAATAAGCTACAAATATAGCTGAAAAATTGACGAAATAAGACGAAAGATAGTTAAAAGAGTAGTTAACAAGTTACTAATTAGTGATGAATTTCATATAGTTTAATAAGTATATAATAATATTATAAGTATTATATATTAATATATTTGTATGAGACATTCATATAGTTACGTGTATTGACTGAGGGATATGATGATGTATTTCACATTTCCACCAACCCTTGAAGCTTACATCTCATTAGTTCACCGCTATGACCAATCCTCTTTGCCTTGTTTTTTTTTTTAATTTAAAAGGAATGGTTGTTTAATAAATTAATACAAATGATAAAATATAAATAAACACTCTAATGATATTATAATTACATTGCCATATAATATAAGTTAGGTTGTTAATTTATTCTACCATAAATTAAGGGTACGGGAGAGCTTTGAATGGGTTCGAGACGGTCACGAACTAGCGTAACTATTATTAAAAGAAGTCATTGCTGATTTGTAAACCTTAAAAATTTCAAGCTTGCAATATATCTATAGTAATACATAAAGTGAGAAGGGGTTTTGGGTGATAAATTTCACTTTCCCAAAATACCCTTTTTATAATTTTTGTAAATTAAAAAAAATAAAATAAAACTATCACATTTTAAAAAAACTACCATCCTTTTTTTTTTTTGGAGATAGTTCATACTCTATTGTTTATTCTCATGAACTCATAGACATATATTTTTTTTACTAACATATGGTTTTATTTCGTGTCAAAAAAAAAATTCTGGAAAAAAAAAATCAAACTTGATAGCTTTTTATATATTGCACACGCCCGCATCGCGTGTGTCTCTTAGCTTGTACGTATAAAGAGCCAAAGAGGTTTAAAAATGTACGAAAATAATACTTCCTCTGTGTTTTTTTTAGTTGACACATTTCTATTATTACCCTTGCCAATGCATGTTTTTTAACGCTTAATAACTTCAATTATTAACATTGTCAAATTATAAAAAGTGGATAGTAATAAAATATTATACATATAGATCAGATGATTCAAATAAGATCCCACATGATTATATTTATCGTATCTATAAATCACAAAAGCAAGTCAAAGTATAGTTTATGAATAGTGTAAAAGTCAAACGGTGTCAACTAAAAAACAAATGAGGAAGTACCTTTTTTGATAATATATTAATATATGAGTTACTATTCTAGTATATGTATCTCATTATTCCTCCTATCACAGGACCTTGTTGAGTTATTAATCTTATATTCTTATTACATATTAACTTAAAACATATGGGTCTTCGTGACTTATAAAGTTATACAGTTATACTACATTACTACGTATATAATTTGGGCCTATGAATTGAAACTGACCGTTATTGAGAGTCTTAGATTAGAGTACAAGATGATTATCATATATTCTCCAACATGTCAAAGATATTATCACATAATCTTCTGATAATTGACAAATGAGTGTTAACTTCTCACAAAATATTTTCCCATCAAATTACTTTAGAGATCATTTTTTTTAATTATATTTTTTATTCTATATTTGTCTTTCCAAGATTCACAACTTCTTTAGGAAAATAATGAGCTATGCCTACATGTTTCTCGAATAAAAGTGTAACAAAAATCATGTTCCAAAGATGAAAAAAAATTACAATATAATCATGCAACGCATGGAGCCTAATGACGTATTACTGTAATATGGGAGGGGGATGGTAGAGATATGAAAGCTCAAAATATAATAAGTTCTTCCATGAACCTTAGTTTAAGCTCGGTTCATGTTAACTCAAATTATGTTTGAATAACAAGTTATTCATATTAGATTAATTTTGACTATTTTGACTAATATAAATTAACTATTTATGAAAATTACATCAATTTTTGACTATGCTTGTTTTATAATTAAAATTTTGGTTAATTCAATTTTGATCAAAGTTTTGTCATATCTCTTTAAAAAAAAAAAAAAAAAGAAAAAGAAAAGAAAAAAAGAAAAAAAGAATTGTCATTTAAAGTTTGGTAGTTTTGTCAAGTCTTATGGGCTACTCATGGAATATCTTTGATCTGGGCTTAAGTAAAATAAATTGATTACCAAGCCCACAACTAGATGAATACCTTAGTTTATTGGCCCACAATGTATATTTTTGACCATTAATATGTTGATTATCAATATGCAACAATATAATTGTAACATACTAAATTACTAACATTTGATATCTTGAAAGTTGAAAGTATAAATTGAGTTGAAAGTGTTTTTCTTTTCATGAAGATCGAGTGTAAAGGTCAAGGTCAACAGAAGCAATATTGAGCTCGTGAAGTAGCTTGAAAAAAGGTTGGTGGTAATAGAGGGAGCCCCATTTTATCTTTGTGATAAACATAAATCGTTTATCAAGTGACATTTTCATAAGTAAATCAATAAAACATCTCAGTCAGCATATTTTCATAAATAAAAAAAAAACAATTGTGAGATTCAGCATTTAATAAAAGTTGTTGACTTATTTACGTTAATGCCACTATACTAATATTTTTTTTTTGTTTATTATTATAAAGATAAACTTTTGGGAAATTCCCATTGTTACACCCGTGGTTTTGACTTTTTCCATTTATACACTCTTAAATTTTTGTATTCCCAACAGTACACTCGTGGTTTGGCTTTTTTCCCAATTGTGACTAACATCGTTAATAACTATTTTACTAAGTTAAACTAATTAAGGAAAAGACTATAATACCCCTTTTTAACTTTTAATGTTTCGATTTGCGTGTCAAAAATTTAATCAAATAATTTTCGACACGCAAATCGAGACATTAGATGTTTAAAAGTGGTATTATAGTCTTTTCCTTAATTATTTAATTTAATGAAATACTTTTTAACGGTGTTAGTCACGGTTGGGAAAAAAACTAAATCATGGGTGTACCGATGGGAAGACAAAAATTTAGGAGTGTATCAATGAGAAAAGTCAAAACCACGGGTGTATTAATGAGAATTTTCCTAAACTTTTATATTCCCTGTTATAAGGTATTATTTCATGTCATCCAAATTAAAACAATAAGTTAAAATTGAATTAGAATCTTTTCAATAAATAAACATAACTTTTATTATATTTTATCATACTATACAATAATAAGGTAATTCCCATTCCCCAACACTCACTTGAGTGATAAAGCCACAAAACACGAAAGCCTAAATTGAGATATAATCTTGCACTTGGTACATGCTTATTACATTCCTATGCAAAGAAATGGAGAAATATATTGCATGAAGCAATCATAACATAAGGGATGATAATGGACACCGATGATGATGAAGATGAATGTGCCGGGCTTGTACTTGGTGTTTCGTCGCTTGCTGGCGAAGGCAATGGCACCAATGTTGTCGCAATAGGTGTTTGTGGTAAAGGCGAGGATGACCCCATTGGTGGTATTTTTGAGGGTGCTAGTGATGAAGATGATGGAGACGGCCCCGTTGTCGACGAGGCGGGTGGTGAAGGTGGTGGTGCCCCTGTTGTTGGTGTGGTGGGTGGTGGAGATGATGGTCCTAATGTTGATGAGGCGGATGGCGAAGACGATGGCCCCGTTTTCGGTGAGTTGATGGGAGGCGAAGGTGATGGCGCCGTTTTTGGTGTGGGGGGTGGTGGTGGTGGTTTAGGTTGTGCCGTTGGTGTAGTCACGTTGTGCTTGTTAGGGTCATGTTGCTCAATAGGTGGTGGTGAAGAGGAACTAGGTGGTGGTGGAGATGAAGAAGAACTAGGTGGTGATGGAGATGAAGAAGAACTAGGTGGTGATGGAGAGGAACTTGGTGGTCCTAGAATTAACATATAAAACATGAAATTGAAATTATCATAATTTTATCAATAAAATACAAGTAGGAAATTAAATAAGGAAAACAATTTGTTGGTGAAAATATTGTTAATTATCGAAGAAAGACTTCAAATTTAAAAATGCTCTCATACTAACTCTATTCCTTTCATTTACTAGAGTGTACCTGTGCAAAATGCACGGAATATATATTTTATAGAAAGATATTACAAAGATTTAATAACAAAAATATATTTTAAATACGTGAAGTTGTTTGTGATATAGTAACTTGCTCCTTTATGTGGCTGAATACACCGTGTAGCTAGCTATTATGGAAGTTATTTTGTTAATGTTATAAGGATTATTCGGTCAATATTTTAAGGGTTACTCGTTTAGCGTTATAGTTGTTATCCTGCCAGTGTTATAAGGGTGGTGCGTTTTGTGTTATAGGGGGTTACTCCGTCAATATTATAATGGGTTATACTTATTCCAGTGCCACTGCTGGCTTGTCGGAAAAAAAAAAGTGTTGTTGCACAAAAAACATTATGTATATATTTTTTTTTTTCCGATGATTATTGAATTAATAATAAGGTAGGGTTCGTTTGGCATCGTTGTGGTTTTCTGTTTTCTGGTTTTTTGGTTTTCAAACTCATATGATATATATCATATAATAAAACAAAAATTAGACAAACCCATTAAAATCATGATAATATTGAAAACTGACAACTGAAAAGTGAAAACACCTTTTTCTTGTTTCCTGTTTTTGGTTTTTTGTTTTCAAAAAAACAAAAAACTGAAAACAAAAAACAGTGCCAAACAAGCCCGTAGTTAGCTGATTTAAAAATATATAAATAAACAATTAGAAGAATTTTTAAAAAGGAAAATAGTGGAACTTATGGTGGCGATATTATTTAAAAAAGTGTACGTAATTTTGGAAAAAAAATGTGCAATTATTGTAATATTGGTGTTTCTAAAAAAAAATTGGACAACGTAGGTAGTTTTTTGGGGTAGTGTGTGTTATTAGGAAAAATAATAGTGAAATTTTTTTGGAGGGTTTTTATTTTTTTTAAGGAAAATGCTATACATAGCCCTAAGGGCTACATATAAGCATTTAATTTACTCTTGAAAATTGTTTAAATTTAGAAAATCATGACAAAAACACACTAATTACACCGATTTACGCGTGTTTTTGTCATGCATTCCTAACTTTATACATTTTCCAAGAGTAAATTCAATGCTTATATATAGCCCTAAGGGCTATATATAACATTACTTTTTTTTAAAAAGACACGTGGAAGTTATTTATAGGGCAAAAAAAAAGGAAAAAAAAAAAAGAGTGAATGAGAATTGAGAGATTGGGTTTTGGAGTGTGTGGTTAAAAGTTGGAAAAACCACTCTACAATTATAATATAGATTTCTTATTATTGTATCAATATGTATGCATATTTCATTGAGGATATCACGATTATAATTTAATATTACATACATTGTTGTTGTTACCAAAATTTTATCAGAATAGATGTTATTAATAGTTAGACCTTTTTTTTTTTTTTTTTTTTTTTTTTTTTTTTGGTGTGTGTGATAAGATTATAAAATGAAAACAATAGAACTTACCGTTACATTTGCTAACGGGAGGAGCTTTGACATTACAAGCAGAAGGAAGAGATGCAGCACGTCCAGGATCAATTTGAATTCCCAAACTTCCACCACTATTCAATGCTTCACACAAACATTCATCATTGGTGTCTAATACAACTTTCAAACCCGAACAACAACTCGGGTCGGGTTTTAAATCGGTACTACCTTGGCTTATAAATGTAATACAAGAAACCATATTATTCATCAAAAGATCCATACATGATGATAAACTATTAGGATTTGCCGAAGTTGAACCTGCGGCATTGACATGTACAATATTGTTTGAATTTACTGCTACAATGATGATGAATAGGGTTACGAGAATTGATTTTTGGCTATCCATGTTTTGGGAATTGAATGGGAGATGGCGTGAAATGATCAAATGTCACGGAAATTTAAGTTCAGAAATCAAACTAATAATAGACATAGGTTTTTAATATTTTAGATAACATTGTTACAAGAATAGGATAAAATTTTCTAAATTTCACAATTTACTATGTTTTGAATAACTATAAACATACTGTTTTTATTTAGAAAGTTAACATATTGTGTGATGTGTCACAAGGTTATTGATATCATAACATAATTGATTATCCCACCAAATCATTGTTGGAAGCCCCTTATTATGATATACTAGTATAGTGTCCATGCGATGCACAATTTATAAATTATACTCCGTAATATTAATCTGGTGAAAAAAAAATTAATTCAATGAGCAATAATAAACTTATCTATATTAAGAAATACATTATAAATTGCTACACTCATAATAATGGCCAATACAAAAATTGAGAAATATAATCTGAATATTATAGTAGTTTATGTCATTTACATTTTTTTCATTTCATCCCTTTTGCTCCCTCCGTTTTGCCGAGTGCTACTCAGTTAGAGATAAGTTAAAATACTGTCCCTAAATTATACCATTAGTTGCACATTTGGTCCCTCATCTTTGAAATGAGGCAAATTAGTCCCTCTGCCACCCTTGGCTCACCAATTCTGGTGGAGGAAAATCTGAGTTAGCAAAGTTGAGGGATGTTTACTGCCAACTAAGCTAAAGTTTAGGGACTTCTCTTGTTAAGTCGGCATTAAATAGTTTAGGGACTGCACTTCTTTTTGCCAAAAGATTAAGGAGCTGCATGCTTACATGAATATTTTTTGTTGAAAAAATTGGTAGTTTGAAGATTAGAGGCTCTGCATTTAATTCTAAAGGATTGCAACGGCAAAAAATAACCAAATTCCAAAATTATTACAAAAAACTAGCCGTTACACACAAAAGTGACTATATATATTGATGTTGGTAGCCATTAAAACCATCAGACTATTAAGCAAAAATTCTTCCAAAAGAAAAAAAAATAATTGCTGCAGTGAAGAAGAAAGCTTCTGTCAAGGTATCTGCTCTGTAATAAAATTACTCCATCCGTTTTAAAATACTTGCTCCATTTCTATTTTTAGTACTATTCATTTGTCCTACTTTGACTAATGTTTGTGACTTATACATGAGAAAAAATATAGTCTTGTGGGTACTTGTTGGAATCATCTCAATGAATAGATTATTAATTTTCAATTGTTAGAATTTATACTTATTGATAATTAAAGATATTAGTGATCAAGATTAGCATCGGCATGTGTGTCCAAGAGAAATGGAGCACGTATTTAAAAACGGGGGGAGTAGTAATTAAGGTATTTAGGAGTTGATCAAAATTAGAAGATTTAAGCAATATTAATATGTTTATTGATGACAGGCAATGTCTAGATGTAGCAATGGATCAAGTGGAAGTGGTCAAAGGTGTCATTGTGGGCTAATAGTGTCAAAGACAAGGTCATGGACCAAAGATAACCGAGGAAGAAGGTCACTAAACTTTACCACTTCATTAATTAAATAATGTCAACTCATACCAAGGTCCTTAAACTTTGATTATTTTTTTTTCTTTTGCCACATGGGCACTGTTGTCCCTAAACTATGGTGACTCATTATTTTTTCACCTGAAAAAATCATGTAAGGGTGGTAGAGGGACCAATTTGTTTCATTAAAAAGATGAGGGACCAAAATGCTACAAATACAATAGTTGAGGGACCGTTTTTATGCTTAACTCTACTCAGTTACCCAAGCAACGTATACCAAGTAAGGACCCTCCATGTGGGTACTTTTGCTTTAAAAATCATAGAGATGGAGAGATAAAGATTTATTAAAATAAAGATCAGGTCCACAAAGTGGGGTTGTAGTTTATAAAAATAAATGAAGGGTTTCCATAAAATGAATGAAGTACAAGTGAATAGAATTGAGAAAAATATATGAAACGAAAAGTGAGTAAAACTTAAAAAAAAAAAAAAAATAACAAAGGAAGTATATTTTTTTATCAACAATTTATTATAAATATTCTTATTAATTTTTTCTTAAAATGATATATAGGTTTTGAAACTTTTAAAACTAATGGTGGTTGTATTATTTGAAAATATTTTTCAAAGAATTGAATACTGAATAAGATTAATATAAATTGTGGAATAGGTTGATCCGAATATCCATAAACCCATTTAATCATGTTTTTTTGTAAAAATATTACATTAACTCTTACAAGCATATGTTATCTTATAATTTAAATTTTGAGTAAATAACAGTCAAATATGCTTATTCATTTTCTATCACCCGTGGGAAGATTAAAATCTAAAAATATTCTACAATATACCACACCTAATACTCATTTTTCCCGCCGTATATTCATCAATTTACCAACGCAAATAATAAACTTGTGTTATACACAAATAGAAGATATTAGTTACACTTCAATTCTAACCAATCATGTAATGTTTTTTTTTTTTTTTTTTTTTTTTTTTTTTTTTTTTTTTTTTTTTAACATAATCATATATTGTATTTTTAAAACCATGCGTTTGGTTCGCAGATAGAGTGGCATGAGTTTGGAATTAGGAATGGGTTTAGGTGATATTGGGTTAGAACTTGATACTTAATACCATGTGTTTGGTTCAATTCTGGAATGAAATATCTCATCATTCGCTCCTTTTATTTGACAAGTCGCCCTCTCACACGCTACGCGCACGATAGTTCTGTGTTCCTTTTCTTTGGTTGTATTATCATATATTTTAATCGTTTGATTTTCTGAAACGAATACTTGCTTAATCGTAATAGATAATTATTGAACTATTTTGTATAGTTTTTTATTTTATAAAGGAAATAAATATTGTGATGGGTATTATGGAAAAGGAAACATTATTACCCAAAATTCTGTTTCACTTTATGGATTATAAGCTAATAGATGCATGGAATTCGGGTATGTGAATATAAGCTAATTGTTTCTAATAAGCTAATTGTTTCTAATAAGGTTAGTGTCAGCTTCTCTTATTAAGAGGGACCTAGTCGCCCGATTGTTAAGTTATAATCCCCATGTTCAGCATGTGAATTTTTAACATATAGTTCAGAGTGTGATTTTTTATTATAATTATTGATTTAAATATTTATTATTCTTATAATTAATGAGTTTAAGAGAAATACATTTTAGCAAGTGTATGTATTCTTTGTATTGTCGTGTGTAAAGTAATTTGTCATGATTTTAATTTTTTTAAAAAAAAAAATATGTAATGTCATGAGGGTACGTAAATGGAAATGATTGTATTTATTTCTTAATAAAGGAGGCATAATTAGATAGTAGAAATACATATTCGGGAAGTAATATAGAACTATATTGCAATGACAAGTTAACCTTGAAAATAAAAGCATTATATACGATAGCATCCCTCTATTTAGTTGTGTTACCTAGTTTATTTATATGAAAAAAGCCAAGACATCCGGTGTTGATTATCTACATATTACTAAACCTCAATTAATTAACAGAGGGAGGAAATTTGGGCCTAATAAATATTACTATTTAATGTAGTTGTTGATAAATCATCAAAAGCTAAAAACTTAATTCTAAAAGTTTTTAAATGAGTAATGAAACATGATTAAGACGAAAGTACACATGAAAGGCATCTCTATGTTTCAGCCATGCATTTTAATGAAATGATCTGCACAAAGAATACACCTATACATTTTGAAAAACTCATGCACAGGTTGCTTTATGGAAAACAATTCATATAATGTCGAAAATAATACTGTCTTAAAGAAAATCTAGTTACTGATACAACCTTCAAGTGGAACTAATTTGAGTTCAAATGCAGCTTGCCAGCTCAAGCCTCAGATAAAAGTACAGTGTAACTTCTTCACTCACTTGACTCAACATAATCATGTACTACTTAGTTATTTAGATTTAAAAAAGAAAATTGCAACATCTTGTTACTAACGCTGATGAACAACCGGTTATATTATAATAACAAGATCATTCCAATTTACTGCTTTATCTTCAAAACAGCTAATTATGTCTGCGATTATGGTATGACTTATGAATCCTAACTAAAATAACACATAATACAAGAATACAAGATAATAAGATGCCATATATTCTCTTAATGATCCTAAGGCTTATTGTAGGCGGCGCTCGAAGTGCGTCTACGTTAAAACATGTTGTGAATATGCTTGACACTCATAGGAAGTGAGAATTGACATAATACGATTAGGGACAAGGAAAGTAGGGAGCCGCCAACAAGTTTTTAAGGAACTTGTAAACCGTTCACGGATCATAAAAGACAACCACAATAAAGGGACAACGATAGGAAACAACGATTGAACCGTGAAGGTTACACCCCATTCATAATCCATGAGATTACTAACTCCATATGGTACGGAACCACAAAAGGAGGATCGGGGATGATGGTACGAAGTGAGTCATGGAGTCACATTCGCCCGTATTGGCCTCTACTCGATTCTTATAGTGAAAAGTGGTTCATGCGATCTCAAAGGCATGCAAACAAAGATTCAATTTGCTCCAAATTATTATTAAGCTAAATTGGTTGAATATTAATAAAATATATAATTCTAAAATATCATGATCACTTGATTAAACAATAAGATTAAAAATGAACCTAAACCGGCCGTCCAAATTATCTTATTAGGCGTGATTTTCAATTACATATTCCCTTTAAACATGCAATATGGTGATCATAATAATCATAGAACAAACATTAATATTGGAAGCAATTTAACAATAATAGCGTTAGTCAAATCAAATAATAAAATAACCTAATCATGATACTAGAAATATTAAAATAAAATAAGAGTAATTAAATTAATTAATCACTCACATTCCACGCGTTCCTTTAAATTGCTACATCATGAATAAATTATTAGTAACTTCAATAAAAAAATATAAATCAAATGAAAATTAAATTAAGTAAATGTAGATTTGATTTGGTCCAAACCCTCATTTATTGGTACCTTTCACACCTTAGTTTAAGGACGGAACCTCGGGTGTTGTATGGACTCCTTAGAGTGATTAAGGGAGAATGGTATAATTAGGAATATAG